ACTTAAAGGCGCTGATGATTTCTACAGAGACTTGTGCTCTGTCCAAGTGCGCTTGACTCACTCCTTGGAAGTGAGTGAACTGTAAGCAGCTCGCACTTGAAGCACAGTGGGCGACGTCTTCTAATTCGCCTAGCTGGACCAATTCGCTCAAGAAGGGTGCGATAGCATCCCCGTACCATGCGCTGTTTGATCGGTCATCTGGAGCGCAAACGCGATTGAAATCACCCAGATAAACGAAAAGACGGTCCGTCGTAACATACTGGCTAATGTTAAAAAAAAAATACTAATCTATCTTCTACCTTATTCGGAGCGTAACTTCACCATACGTGAAAATTGTAACTTGAAAACAAGAAATCACACACTATCAATCGTCCGGCCTCGCAGCTAAAAGACCTATTGCTTTATTACCCAAGCATCAAGGAGAATGCAGAAATTGGTGCTCCACGCGCCACACGCGAACGCCTTCATTGTATCAAAAACTCGAAGTAAATAGCCAAAATAAAGCGTTGACGAACACGCAAGCAAGATGCCATTTGTTTTAGGTATTTGCTTTGGAAAGTTACTACTGGTAGAGCCAGCGCGTGCGGCGCGTGAAACACTAATCCCCGCATTCTCCATGATGCTTGAGTAATATAGAAATAAGTCCATTACTTGTTCTAGAGTTCCGATGGATTTTCGGAGAAGCAAAAGGCAGCCCCCCGAAGTTCCAACAGCGTGACTGACACACAGGTCGTACCTCGACTTGAATAGGTGGACCCCACTCTCTACTGGGTGAAACAAGGAGACGGTAGGCTCTTTAAATCGACCGGAAAATTCGGTTTCTTAACCTATCGCGCTACGACCTTGTGCAGCGTTGCCCACAGATGGTGGATTTTTTTTGTAAAATTTGCAAAGAGCGAACTTACCTGAGGAAAAAGTAAAGAAAGAAAAAGGCTTAGCTCCTATGGAAACTCAGCGACGCCACTGGTCTTCAAACAACACGGCGCCGTTTCGCACGGGGGACAAGAGATGGCGCAATTCGAACGAGCATACGGGGCATACGGCGCCGAGAGCCAGCGTCTTTAGCAGACAATCTTTTCGACTCAAAAGCGACGCGCGTTCCGCAGGCGGCGACAGTCGCAGAAACAAAAACAGGCGCGGTAACAACGAGGAACTGCAGTTCCTTGTCTGCTAAATACGCCGGCTCTCGGCGCCGTATGCTCGTTCGTTGGCGGCGTTCGTTGCGCCATCTGTTGTGTCCCGTGCGAAACGGCGCCGTGTTGTTTGAAGACCGGTGGCGTCGCTGAGTTTCCATAGGAGCTAAGCCTTTTTCTTTCTTTACTTCTTCCTCAGATAAATTCGCTCTTTGCAAAGTTTACAAAAAAAAAAAAAAAAAAAGCACCATCTGTGGGCAACGCTGCACAAAGTCGTAGCGCGATAGGTTAAGAAACCGAATTTTCCGGTCGATTTAAAGAGCCTACCGTCTCCTTGTTTCACCCTGTAGTTTTGACTCTTGCACCGGGACAATATCGAAATCTTTTTCAACGAAAAGGCGGTTCAGCTGACAATGCTTGCGCCTTGCGTTTGAACCTTGTACGCTCAGAGTGCCCACACGCAAGGACCTATCGAGGATCATAAGAAATTAGAGGGAGGCCAGACGAAGGCTACCGGGCTTCCTCACTTCTCACTTCCTCGGCTCGTGTTTCCGAGTTGGAGGCACAAACTGAGGCTTGTGCCGTCCTATTTTCTCTTTTTCACCGTGCCATTCCCGTTCGAAGCGCATCGGCAGAGACAGTGTCGTCCAGGCGACGCTTTTTCCCCGTAGTCTCGACTTTCATGCTCTTGGGGACCTTTTCTTGCTTGGAGACTGCAGGATCTCGGCGCTTATCCGTTCCCTCGGGGTCCCTTGGAGTGCCCCTTAGTGTCGTGGGAATGGCATCTTGGATCCGCTCGGGAGTAGCCTTTGGGGACGGTTGTGCAGGAGACGCTTCCTGCAGCGCCTTGCTTAAAATCCCGTTGTCGATAGCTGCCTGGCTGGGCTCTAGCCGCACTGGCGGTGTCACCGGTGCTCCGGCTCGGTTCATCTCGTCTTCGTCTAATGTCAACTCGAACATTTCCGGCCCGGTGTCGCTGCCAGTGACGCGAGCGTACATCTTGACACAGTCCCTTTTTTCGTGCCCGAAACCTTGGCACTCAGAGCACGAGGGCACCCTACAGTCGCTCCGAAAGTGACCCGTGCGCCGCAACGGAGGCAGATGGGCGAGCGCCCGGGGACCACCACCGGAACTGAGCCGCCAGAGAAACGGAGCTGGTGAAGCAACTGTTCCAGCCATTGGCGGAGGGTCAAGGCGACAGTCAGCGTCGTAGATTCAACGCCGACGAGCCCGTCAAGCTTCCGAACCTCCCGGGCGAGGTCCCTAAACCCGTCGAACGGCTCGAAGGCGCGACAGAAGGTGTAAGGGTACGTCGAAGGTAACCCAGGGAAGTTTCACCTTGATATCCCGCCGGTATATGGGCCGATCACTAGGCGGCTCAGACTTTTGACCGGAAGTTCACTCGAATGAAGCAGCTTCCTCTTGACCTCCGAAATATTCATCTTGGCGAGCCAGACGTGACCCATCTGATACACCCCCAGACCGGTCAAGTCTTGCAGCACCCCACCTGGTTTAAAGGAGTCACGAAATCTTTTGCCTTGTAAGGCCGTGCACCGGTGTCACAATGCAGCACCTACGCTGTTCTTCATTATTTCCCGTGTTGAAAGCGTCGCCAAAACAAAAGAGTCATCCCGGGCGGCATTGCCCTTATCCGAATTACCCCGGCCAAGGCCGGTTGTTATCGCCGCTCCTGACGAGCGATCCATCGCACGCCCGCTCTGCTTGGCAGCCAGGAGTAGACCCCATCGGCCACGCGCTCGCTGGGCAACACGCGCGGCAATATTAATTGAAAAATACATTCCATCAAGGAAGAAACGATGCAACAGAAACTCACGCTAACGCTAATCTGAGGCGTCTGCTAACTAAAAAAAAGTAATTTTCGCAGCTGCCAAACGATCATCCACTCATGCACGATGGACAGCGTACCAAACTGCAGATCTGAAATACACAGGAGGTCTTACGGAAACTAAGTCACATTTTTATAATCATGCACTAAATAGCATGTTAGCAACTAATCGTAAAAAATTGTGGAATGTCGTTAATTCCAAAGATCAGTCTAACATTGGTCTTCAGTCATCTCATGGCATAGATATTCCAGCAACTGAAAGTGCAATTGTATTAAATTATGTTTTTATTATGTCGTGTACAACCCCTAATGTTAACCAAGTACCGGTATTGTCGTTTCCTGCTTTTTTGTCTATGAGCTCAGTAGCAGTTGCCGTGATTGGTGTGGCTGGCATTATTAAAAAATATCAAGCTTTCATCATGCGCTCGAATAGATGGGATTCATAGTAAGTTTTTTTTTAAAAATTGTAATATGCATTGTTCAATACTTCTCTCAAAACTCTATATGTAGTCTTTTATTTATTGCGCAGTCCTAAGTGATTGGGTGGTTTGGAAGGGGGCCCTTTACACAAATCTGGAAAAAAACAAAACCCATCTAAATATCGACCAACATCTTTAACAAGTCTGCCCTGTAAAATATTAGTACACGTCATTTATTCGCAGTTTTGTAAATTATCTTGAACCTAATGACTCCACAAGTCCACAACGAGGCTTTAAAACCATTTAATGTGAGACGCAGTTACCCCTTCACGCATGATCTCCACCATTTTCTTGCTAATAATTATGAAACTGATCTTGTATATTACGATTTTTCAAAAGCCTTTTACGAAGTTTTCCATAAGTTCCTTCTTCATAAATGACAATCACGTAGCATTGATTTTTGTATTATAAATTGGATTCATGCCTTTTTAACTAACCAACTACATTTCGTTACTGCTAATAATATGAATTATTGTACTGTTCCAGTCACCTCACGTGCCCCACAGGGCTCAGCGCTTGGACGCTCTTCTTTCATATTTACATGAATGACTTGGTGCAGAACTTTTTTTTTTATGTTAGCCTCTCCGCTGACAATTGCGTAATATACCAGAATACGAAAGACATATCTGAGACTATTCTGCTACAATCTGACCTTAATAATATATCACTGTGGAGTAACCAGTGGTTAACAAAACCAAACACTGACAAATGTAAATTGCTGAAAGTGTCACGCGCTCAAACGGTGTATCATACTATCATCTTGTCAGTAATCCTCTCGCTTCAAAGTCTGTTTACAAATATCTTGGTGTTCATTTAACGTGTAACCTTTCTTGGAAGGTGCATATTAAATACATATCTAACAGTGCCAACCGTATGCAAGGACATTTAAAAATAAATTTCCTTCTGCTTCTATCTTCCGTTAAAGTTTACAAAACCATAATCAGTCCAAAATTAGAATATGCTGCTGCTGTGTGGGACCCCTCACACTCTTCACTAATTGTTCTTATTGAATTCATTATAAACTTCTCAGGTTGTTTCATATCGACTATTATTTCACTGCCAGCGTTTCTGCCATGAAAAAACACTTTAGGTTTGCCGTTACAAATTTACCGCAGAAAAATCACTCGTTTGTGTCTTTTTCATAAAATATATAATCAAAATATCACCGTTCGTTATAAACTAATTACTCCACCACTCTACATACCGGCTAACATAGATCATGTCCATGAGGTTGGTATTCTAAATTGTAGGACTTCACAATTTCAAGAGTATTTCGTGCCTCAAACATCGATAGACTGGAACTACCTTCCCACCTTCATGCCAACATCACTGATATTGTTTTGTTTAAACGTGCTATTATTAATATATGCACTTTAAGGTTAATATTTTACAGCTCTCTCCCATCTTTGATGTAATTACCTTGAGGGTATTTGAAACAAATAAATAAATAAAAATAATATAAATAAACACAGCGTAACAAATCATAACGCACACAAAATGCACCCACGGCACAGCTTATGGCGGCGTGGAACCGGCACAGTCATGGCGGTGCCCTTCACGCATATTCGTTTTCTGCTGCTCATGCAGGTCGTGTGTCGTGGTGCTTCATCGCTATTGCAACGCAACGTCAGCAAAGACACGGAACATCCCCCACCATCGGCTACGCCTGTTTTCGCCTTCAACTCGGATCTTCTCGACGACACCACTCTCGCAACGTGTCCGGCACCCGCTTCTGGCCAGTGTCCGATCCCTGCCTACGAACCTTGGGAGGACAGTTTCGGTGTCTTCAGCCTACAAAAGGCGGAAATCGACAGTCTCGGCTTGGGGCGTGGAACCGGCACAGTCATGGCGGTGCCCTTCACGCATTTTCGTTTTCTGCTGCTCATGCAGGTTGGTGCCAGCTTCTCTAAATGTTCTAAATTTCATTTTGCTCTTCTGCCGGTTCCACCCCATGTTGTATTTGCTAACGTTAGATCACGCGGCTTGACCTGCCGATTTCGGAAAGGTTTCGTGTTGCTGCACAATTACGCTTTCTATTTCTTATTGCTACTGCTGTGCGGTGACGTTGAATTAAATCCCGGCCCTCTTTCTGCCGCGCAAGAAAATCAGCTAGTTGAAGCAATGCAACTAATTCCTAGTATGCACGAAGGACAAAAGACTGTAATAAACGAACTGAAAGCCATCAAAGATTTGCAAACCACATTCGAAAGAAAACTGGAGGGCTTATTTTCTCGTATAGCCATAATTGAGAGCGATGTGGCTACAATTAAACCACTGAGGGGAGAATTTGAAGAACTTAAAGCGTCAAATCGGGAACTCGATACGCAGCTTAGAACAACAGCTTTACGTCAAGAAGAACTGGAAAATCAATCTCGGAGAAACAACCTGCTCATCTACGGTTTGCCCGACGTGGCGGCTGAAACCTGGGAAGCTTCAGAGGCTAAGGCTTTATCTTTTTTCGCCGATAAGCTCGATATACACCTTGAAGCTACTAGCATTGAACGAGCGCACAGGATTGGCCGCTTTGCTGCTGATAAAAACCGCCCTTTGATTTCGAGGTTCCTGTCATTTAAAGACAAGCAAAGGGTTCTTTCCAAGGCCTTCAAACTAAAACAAAGTGGTTTTTCTATAAGCGACGATTTTTCCCCTGCAGTACAGTTTGCAAGACGCAGACTTCTAGACTACGCCAGTGAGCAGAACGCGCAATTTAAATTGCGATACAACAAGTTAACTATAGGCAACAAAACGTATATGTACGGTCCAGATAATGACACTGTGTTCGAAAGTGCCCGGTAACCACCAAAGCATACAAGCGGAAATGGAGAACTTAGCTTTCAAAAACTAGTGTTCATAACTGTCAACTGCAGAAGTGTTAAAAACAAAAAAGACGAACTTGCCTTTCTTCTGAATTCAACACAGGCTGATGTGGTTATTGGTACGGAGTCGTGGCTTGATGGTTCTATAGACAGTTCTGAAATATTTCCTGCTAACTATGAGGTCTACCGCAAAGATAGAAACCTAAGGGGCGGGGGTGTGTTCTTACTTGTGTCTACAGACCTACCAAGCACAGCCCTTGAATTTCAGGACTGTATTTGCGAATCTGTTTGGTGTAAAATCAAACTGCGAGGCTCGAAATTTCTCACAGTCGGCTCATTTTATAGACCACCGGGTAATAATGCACTGGATCCCCTTTTGTGTTTATCTAATACTTTGTCAGCAATAACCCCTGATGACGTCATACTTAGTGGAGACTTTAATCTTCCCGATATAGATTGGGTGGAAAATATACCTAATTTGCGTAATTCACTCTCTCTTTATACCACGTTTGACGAACTGATAAACACTCATGAGTTGCAACAGTTCGTGTCCCTTCAACAAGATATAGTGCACGGGAATCTATTCTAGATCTTTTTTTTACAAATCGTCCTTCTTATGTGTCCTCAGTAATGACGACACCGGGCCTCAGTGACCATGAAGTTGTAGTTACACAAATAACTTGTAGGCGCGATGTCATCATCAAGTCACGCCCCAAAAAAGTGTATGTTTTCGATCGGGGTGATTATGATAACTTGTCTTTTGACCTGTTGGCTTTCCTCCCCGAGTTTGAATGCTCATGTACGTCACTTGACATTGAAGATTTGTGGTTGTTGTTTAAAAGTGTACTTATGGCTCTTATCGATAAATATGTTCCCTGTAAAATGTTATCAGGAAGGCGTAGACACGATAAACCATGGATAAACAAAAGCTTGCGTTGCCTCCTAAATAAAAAACGACGTCTGTTTCTTAAGTATAAAAAAACAAAAAACCCGGCAACGAAAAGTGAACTAAAATGCCTCGATTACGCCTTTAAAAAAGAGGTTAAGGAAGCTAAACTGCATTTCTTCTCTACCCTGGGTCCCAGGTTGCTTAACAACCCAAAAGAATTATGGAAAATTGTGAAAAGAACGGGTAATAACGAAAGCATAGGTATACCCCCAATACTTCAGAACAATGAATTGACTTCGGACGACTTAGAGAGAGCGGTTTGCTTCAATAATTTTTTTCAGTCTGTTTTTTCTAGTCCAGCAGAGACAGACGAATTGGCCCCATCTATGTCAGAACTTAATGAGATGCCAGAATTTGTAATTGAGGATAATGGTGTACTTAAACTTCTTTGTAATTTAAAACCTCATTCAGCCACAGGACCCGATGGAATCCCTAACCGCGTGTTAAAATCGTGTGCTACCGCGATTACGTCCTTCCTAGTTATATTGTTTAACAAATCGCTTTTCTCGAGCAAGCTGCCGTCGGATTGGAAGACTGCTAATATTGCACCCGTCCATAAGGCAGGTCTTAAACGCGAGGTATCTAATTACAGGCCAATATCGCTGACTAGTGTTTGTTCCAAACTGCTAGAACACATCATATACTCAAATATTGTATCTCATCTAGAGTTAAATAATTATTTTACCCCGCAGCAGCATGGTTTTCGCTCGGGTTTGTCGTGCTCTACGCAGTTGATTGAATTTGTCCATGATATTTCTCTCTCATTCGATAAAAATATACAAACTGACTGCTTGCTTTTAGACTTCCAAAAAGCTTTTGACAAAGTGCCCCACTCCCTTCTTATGCACAAATTGTCATCCTTGGGGTTAAATGGTTATCTTATCAAGTGGCTGAAAGATTATTTAACTGATCGTACTCAGTGTGTAGTTGTCAATGGTGTTAAATCCCCGTACGCAGCGGTTACGTCAGGAGTTCCCCAGGGGAGCGTACTTGGGCCTCTTCTCTTTTTAATTTATATTAATGACGTTCCTCAAAACTTAACATCTAGTATTCGTTTATACGCGGATGATTGCGTTATCTACCGGCAAGTTTGCAACGACGATCATTCCTACTTACTCCAGACTGACCTTGAAACAGTGGCGGCGTGGTGTAACAGGTGGGGAATGTGCCTAAACATTAATAAATGCAATTATATTCGGTTTACCAAAAAACGCAACCCTTTTCTATCAAGGTACAATCTAAACGGCACTGACCTTAAAGAGGTTACGGAGGTAAAGTATTTAGGGGTCTATTTTAGCAGCACTCTTTCCTGGGCCAAACACGTGGACACAGTAACACTTAAGGCGAACCGTGTCCTAAACTTTATAAAAAGGAATTTTAAAATGGCTCCTGAAGATATAAAAGCTTTGCTATACACTACTAACGTTAGGCCTATCTTAGAGTACGCGTGTTCAGTGTGGGACCCTCATTTCCTCAACTTGTCTTCAAAAATTGAACGCGTACAAAATAGAGCTTCGCGCTTTGTTACAAATACCTACGCCTTTCGGTCAAGCGTCACCAAACTTAAAGGGCAACTTAACTGGCACTTGCTGGCTTCACGACGAAAGTGCTTGCGATTAAAACTTTTTAGAAGTATTTTCCTACCGAACACACGCATTAACAAGGATAAGTATCTTCATAGTCCTGATTACATTTCCTCAAGGGTAGATCATTCGCTTAAAATAAAAGAAATTAGATGTAGAACAGAACTGTTTAAACATTCCTTTTTTCCAAAGAGCATTCATGAGTGGAATGCCCTTCCTGAACTTGTGGTGACAGAAACCTCAGATGCCAGCTTTTCTTCTCTCCTATTGGACCTATAAAACTCCCTCAGTGTTCAATATCCTGTATTGTGTTTATTAGTTATACTTGTATCGTGTTTTCTGTTAATTGATTTGTAATGTGCTTGCTCATTGTATTCCTTTTTTCTTGCAACAGATCTTTGATGTTTTTTGCATTTTTTTGTGTATTGGTGCTTTCAAGCACTATGCTTTACTTGCGTTTAACAAGTGTGATGCAACCATCTTTTATGTATTTTAACCCCCCTACTGTAATGCCCTCTGGGCGATGTAGGTACTGTATAAATAAAAATAAATAAATATAGTGGTCCCCCGGTTATAGTGGTCCAATGGTTTATCAGATTAATAAAGAATGGGCCTGTTTTGTTTTTTTACTTTGAACGGTATTATTAGACTTTATTGCTGGATTCGACGCCAGTTGTTGACAAATTTGAAGCAAAATGGCAGGCACCTAATACCAAACTACGATCAAAAGCTCATAGAAAAAAGGATGCCTCCTCTTTTTGCTTTAGGGCACAGTATATCAGGCTTTTACATCATTAAACGATATATCTTTCAATGACAGAAATAGAAAAATAACTAATGTAGCAGCAGCACATATATGCACCAAGAGTTTGTTCCGCGATTTTCGTTATAACAATTTTACAGTGCTGATCTTCGCTGCGTTACTATCGAGGATATGGCGATTTTAGCCAGGAAGGAGCTGCGAATTTGTTTTTCTGAACTTGGGAATGTCACTTTTACTTGAGACAGTAAAAAATGACATACAGGGCGAATCTCATTCTTTAACAATGACTATAATTATCACGCGTACCACAAGTAAAACATACTGCTCGCCACAACAAAGATTCTGATGGTGTTTGTTGATGACGCTCAAGGCCGCTGGTGTTAGCACTGTGACAAAATTTACAGGCAAAACAAACATTTGTGTAGCAGGGACCCAGGTGTAAAAATTCTCCGTAGATCGGAGGAACTCAAATAGCAATTTTTTAAGATAAGCTCTTAAAGTTTTAGAATTAACTTTCAGCTTCTTAACTAGAACAATCTTCGGATTTTCCGAATGTTTGCCACTTGAACTTTGATGGTATAGGAAACCGTCGAACACGAACTTTCTAAAACTTCGAAGCTGCCTGCTTCGCGTATTTGTACGTCTGAGGGATTCGAAAGTTAAAACATTTCGAACTGGAACCTTTTCTTTTTGGTGACAATTCCAGATATTTTCAGGTTCTGTCGTACTGGGTACGGGCTTCCAGCACGAAAGTTCCAAGATAAACGCAATGCCACGTGACGGGAGTATAGCAACCGGCGCAGCAGTGACAACCAATTCCGACATATGGCCTTAACTTGCAACCAACGAACAACTGAGTGGCCAGATGCTCTCATCACACTGGTGTAAGCATGGGGTGGAGAGCGGGTAACAGCCCAAAAAGTGCAAAAACATGGCGTGAAACGGCCCAGTTCTTCAACGAGTAGTGGAGCCTCCTGGTTATTACTGGACGCCCATAGAAAATTCCACTAAAGAGCTTCTAGGAGGCGCCAATTTGGGAGATCGTGAGTAGGGCGCGTGTCTTGCATCGTGTGCATATTCTAAATATTTAACCACCTTGAAACGAAGAATAATCGCAAGAAACTGATTTCGTGAAGAATTGTACGTTTTATTCATTTTCTTCTTCATTACAGGCCACGCCTGCATGAAGACTTTGAGGGGCTACATGCAATAATGGTACGAAGTTGACTCGAGCCGGTTTTTATATTTTGGACCCCGCAGGTACAGATTGTAGTTGCGCAACTTTATTTTTGTCGACGTAATGTTTTAGGTAATCCCTCCCGTCAAGCTGAATAAAATGATAAACTTCGACCAGCACTGCAGGAAAAGATGGGGTCCCCTCCTGTATGGGGAAAGCACTCTTGCAGTTGTACTACTATTACACATTGCCCGTCAATTGTTGATGAGATATCACTATTCAAAGCATCTACAGAATTGGTTCTTGTAGCCGCCGCATCTGTAGCGTTTGCTAACTTCGTTTTTGGAGCACACATATTGGCATCCCTGGGGATTATTCGGGCAACCCACATGGATACCTAGAAAGTGAGAGATCAGCATCAGTACTTACATCTTGTATACCTTCTTACAGATAAATCATGACACTTTCCAATTTCAGAATATGAGTGCATTGAAAAGGCAGTAACCGG